ACTCACCTGACAGCTGCAGATCAGGCCCTCGTGCTAATGCTAACACTAGCTTAGCTCGGCCTCTTAACGTCAGTGCTGACAAAGTTTCGTCACTCCGTACGTCACTCCGTACGTCGGGTACATCCTATGACGTCACACTCGAAGTGACAGGTGGTGTCAGGTGACGCTGTCAGGTACCCGGCAGCTAACTGTTAGCTAAGGGCTAACACAGAGAGAGACAGGCTAGTTTTAGCATCATAGAATCTAACGGACCGGACCAGAACCAGAACCAGAGACAGGACCAGAGATCAGAGACCGGAACATAGACCGGGGATCGGGGACAGGATCAGGATTAGAGGAGCTAACAGGCTAACAGACAGCTAAGCTAACCTGACCAGCTGATCTGCTGTTAGCATCTGTTAGCTTCTGTTAGTCTGTCCTTCTCTCTTGATAACCGGTTATTCTGACACTCTGGTTAGTTAGTTAGTTAATGAGTTAGTTACTGAGTTATCCCGGGTTAACCTGGTTCACAGTCTCTCCGCTCGTACCTCATGTCTCTCTCCCGGCTCCGTGGTGCTCCTCTCGGACTCCTCAGGCCGCTCACAGCGCGGGTTCTCCGGGCTCACAGTCCGCGGTCAGCCGCTTCATTCCTCCACACTCCAGACCCAACACTCAAGACTCACACTCCCAGCATACACCGCGGCTCACACAGCGACCCCTGCTGCCCGCTACAACACCAGCACCGCCCCCTCCTTCTTCTTTTACTGTTGTAGTTTATCAGCAGCTGTTACAGCGCCCCCCTCTGGACCGGACAGTTTATTATATTTGATTTATTTCAAATTTGAACAAAAAAACAAACAAACATCTGAGACACAAAATCAGGAGGAACATTTTTAACAATCCAATAACTTCTGGACCATTTAAAGTTAAATTCAAAAGAAAAAAGATAAAATAACAAAAATAATGTTTTTCTGTTTCATAAAAGGTGTGAATAAAAAACCAAACAGGTCAAAATTTATAATGTTTAAAAAAGAGAGAGAGAGACAGGTGGAGGAACATCTATGACTAACACCTTTAACCTCTTTTATCTTATTTCGACTTTACTGTCTTTTTAGTTTTTGTTTGACTGATAATCTTTTTTATTTAACCTTTTATTGATTTTATTGTTTTTTTTCTGCTCATTGTTGTTTTTCCATTTGTCATTACTATTACCATCATTATTATTTTATTAAGAGTTTATTATCATTATTAATATCCTCTTTTTATATTTAATATCCCGTTTCCTGCTTTCTGCCCTCTTTATTACATTTCTTCTTCTTACCTATTTTATGTTTTTATTTTGGTCTCATGTCTCAGTTTATGTTGTAGGGTTCTTCTGTTGTCTGGGTTCCTGATGACAAATGAAATTGTCCTTTATTTCAGAGGTTTTTAATTGAGCTTTTGTTCTTATTTCCTGATGTTCTGAGCTTTACCACTGTTTGTCAAAGAACTTTGGTTTTGGTCTGAGTCTTTATGAAGTTGAAGTGGAGGATGCTGTTGTCCTGTTAGCTTCAGTTCAGGCCAAAACGCCGGTGTATCGTCATGATTGGTCCCCCGGCAGCTCACTTCTGTTGTGTCTTTTTTTATTTGCATCCTTTTATTTTCACAGTTAGTAACTTTTTTTTTTCACCGTTTCTGTTTTTATTTTTATTTTGTTATTTCCATCGTAGCTTCTTTTTTTATTTGCAACAGTGGCGGTTCTCGGCCACCGTACTCCCTTTGTTCTCCTGTGGGGGCAGTCATGAATCTGAAGCTTGATAAAACCACAGAAGAAGACGTGTGCAGCAAAGATGGCGGAGCTGTGTGATTACGGAACAGTGATGTTGATCTTGAGGTGTGTGTAGAGCCTCTGTGTGAGTGCGTGAGTGTGTGTGTGTGTGTGTGTAGAGTGTGTGTCGCTGTCAGGATGGCTCACCGTTACCTGCGGCTGTCCTCGGGCTGCAGGTCCATGTTCCGGCTGCTCCTGCTGCCCTCCAGCGCTCCTGTCCGGCAGGTAGGTGGACCTCAGGCTAACAGGCTAACATGCTAACATGTTTACCGGGGCAGCGGCCAAAACATGCCCGGGCAGAGAGCCCCCTGACCCGGGGACAGGTACGTGAAGAGCCCGGTGATTCCGACCTCCTGGACAGAACAGGTGAACTCACCTGAGTGAGGTCACTGCGCCGTGATTGGCTTATGAAACATCAGTGTTTATGTGAGGTAACGGGACAGGTGTTCAGATCAGACAGGTGAGACACATGACGTCAGAACCTGATATCAAGTTTTAATCCACATTAGAGAGCAGGGAGTTGATCACGTGACCTCCCTCTGACGTCACTACGTTCATGTTTTTAAACTCGTTTGAATCTAAACTCGAAATAATCTAATCCGGTTTATAATCTGATTAGAATCTGAATTCATAATTTAGTCTGATTACAGCCTAAACTCGAAATAATCTAATCCAGTTTATAAATGATTTCTTTATGGTGTAATCTGATTATAATCTGAATTTATGATGTAATCTGATTATAATCTGAACTCTTTATCATTTAATCTGATTATAATCTGAAGTCTATGATTTAATCTGATTATAATCTGAATCATAATTTAATCTGATCTCTTTATAATTTAATCTGATTATAATCTGAACTCTTAATGATGTAATCTGGTTACAGTCTAAAGTCATTGTTCTATAATCTGTTAATTTAATCCCGTTGTAATCCATACTCATAATTGATCTCATTATAATTTCATGTATTGGGGGGTCAGTGATGTTTATTCGGTCTAAACTGATCTCTAACTTCCTGTTGGTCAGGTGACATCATGTATCAGCACAGTGGGACAGGTGGGAAGTGGGCGGAGCCTACTGAGGGACCTGCTGGGAGCCTACAGGAGGATGAGTGCCAGACCCCCCAAAGGTAAACAGCTGATTCTACTTCACCTGCAGGTTTTAGTCCGACAGGCCCTTAATAAAAGTTTAGAGACAAACAAACAACAGGTAACACCCAGGTGAGCACCTACCTGCTGCCCCCCCCCCACAAACACACAAACACACACACACACACACACACACACTTTCTAAACAAAGAGTGAGGCTGTCGTAGGCTGAGAGGGTCCTCACAGGTGTAGAAGAACACACCTGATCACCTTTTGTGTTTTTTTTTTCAGGCTTCGAGAAATATTTTCCAGAAGGTCAAAAGGCGCCAAAAAACGCCGAGACTGAGGCGGCGGCCAAAGGTACACACCTAATACACACCTGCTACACAACTACTACACAACTACTACACACCTGAACTCATTCGAACACAAAATTAACATCTATTACCCATCTCTTCACCACCACCCCCCACACACACAAACACACACACTCACACACACACACACACACACACACACACACACACACACTGTTTTTAAGGTCCTGAGTGAATCTCTCTTCCTGCACGTCTGATTGGTTGATTGATTATTTCTCTCTGTCCTCAGAGGATAAACCCTCTCCTCCTCCTCAGAGAGCCACAGGGAGCTCAGGTGGAGGGGGCGGGGCTGATGGAGGAGGAGCAGGAGGAGCAGGAGGAGGAGGAGGAGGAGGTAAACGTGGAGGCCGCAGGGAGGACTCTCATTGGTACAGCCGCCTGCAGAAGGTAAGTGTGGGCGGGGAAACAGGTGTCTTTTGCTCACCTGGTGGGACAGGTGTGTGTGTGTGTGTGTTTGAGGTGAGGTCTAACCTGTGGTTGTGGGTCTTTCAGGGGGACATTCCCTGGGACGATAAAGAGTTTCGCATGTACTTCCTGAGCGCGGCGGCGTTCTGGACCACCATCACCTATTACTTCTTCCTGAGGGATGGAGGACGGGAGGTCACCTGGAAGGACTTTGTCAACAACTACCTGTCCAAAGGAGTGGTGAGGAGTGAACACCTGTGTACCACCTGAGCTCACCTGAGATCAGCTGTTAACCTGTCACTGTTCACCTGTTCTCACTCATCCATCATCGACCTCCACCCTGACACTCCACCTCCGTCTTCTCACCTTTCAGGTAGATCGCCTGGAGGTCGTCAATAAGCGTTACGTCAAAGTGGTTTTCTCCTCGGGGAAGATGCAGGGAGACGGGGTGAGTCCAACCGGAGATCCCTGAGAGTCGGGACAGCTCCGCCCCTCTGCTTGTCTCCACCCCTCCTCTTGTCTCCACCCCTCCTCTTGTCTCCACCCCTCGTCTTGTCTCCGCCCCCCTCTTGTCTCCGCCCCTCTGCTTGTCTCCGCCCCCTCTTGTCTCCGCCCCCTCTTGTCTCCGCCCCTCCTCTTGTCTTCGCCCCTCTGCTTGTCTCCGCCCCCCCTCTTGTCTCCGCCCCCTCTTGTCTCCACCCCTCCTCTTATCTCCACCCCCTCTTGTCTCCCCCCCTCTTGTCTCCACCCTCCTCTTTCTCCACCCCCTCTTGTCTCCGCCCCTCCTCCACCCCTCCTCTTTCTCCACCCCCTCTTGTCTCCGCCCCTCCTCTTGTTTCCGCCCCTCTGCTCTTGTCTCCGCCCCCCTCTTGTCTCCGCCCCCTCTTGTCTCCGCCCCCCTCTTGTCTCCGCCCCTCTTGTCTCCACCCCTCCTCTTATCTCCTGCCCCTCTTGTCTCCCCCCTCTTGTCTCCACCCCTCTTCTCTTCACCCCCTCTTGTCTCCACCCCGCCTCTTGTCTCCGCCCCCTCTTGTCTCCGCCCCCTCTTGTCTCCGCCCCCTCTTGTCTCCACCCCTCCTCTTGTCTCCGCCCCTCCTCTTGTTTCTGTTGCTGATGTTACATGACGACCTCTGACCTCATCATTCGGGTCGTTTGAGCTGAATATTCCTGAAACTTCTTCTTCTTCAGTTCCTTCCTCTCGCCCTCTTTTCTCCTCCTTCACTTCTGTTTTTGACGTTTTCGCAGCGTCACAGTTAAACAACGTGTGTGTGTGTGTGTGTGCGTGCGTGCGTGCTTGCGTGCGTGTGTGTGTGTGTGTGTGTGTGTGTGTGTGTGTGTGCGTGCGTGCGTGCGTGCGTGCGTGCGTGCGTGCGCGCGCGTGCGTGCGTGCGCGTGCGTGCGTGTGTGTGTGTGCGTGCGTGTGTGTGTGTGAGCAGTATGTGTGGTTCAACATCGGCAGTGTGGACACCTTTGAGAGGAACCTGGAGACGGCTCAGTACGAGTTGGGCATCGAGGGCGAGAACAGGGTGCCGGTGGTTTATTCCACAGAGAGTGACGGGTGAGGACGCCGCCGCCACCGCCACCGCCTTCGTCTCTTTAACCATCTTCCTGTTTTAACCTTCTCTCTTCTTTCAGCACGTTCCTCCTGAGCATGCTCCCCACCGTGCTCATCATCGGATTCCTGCTGTTCATGCTGCGGCGAGGCCCTGCAGGGGCGGGGCGACCCGGCCGGGGAATGGGCGGGCTTTTCAGCGTTAGCGAGACGACGGCGAAGATCCTGAAAGATGAAATCGACGTGAAGTTCAAAGACGTGGCGGGCTGTGAGGAGGCGAAGCTGGAGATCATGGAGTTTGTCAACTTCCTGAAGAACCCCAAACAGTACCAGGATCTGGGCGCCAAGATCCCCAAGGTGAGGGCGGGGCCAACAGGTGGAGAAGTGGGCGGAGACCAGCGGTTTATCTTTTTATGTCATCCAAACCATCGCTGCAGCTCCGGGGGTCATAACATATATGTGTGTGTGTGTGTGTGTGTGTGTCTGTGTCTGTGTCTGTGTCTGTGTGTGTGTGTGTGTGTGTGTGTGTGTGTCTGTGTGTGTATGTGTCTGTGTGTGTCTGTGTGTGTGCGGTGCAGGGTGCGATCCTGACTGGTCCTCCAGGAACAGGAAAGACTCTTTTAGCCAAGGCAACAGCGGGCGAGGCCAACGTGCCGTTCATCACCGTGAACGGGTCAGAGTTTCTGGAGATGTTTGTGGGCGTCGGCCCTGCCAGGGTGAGCTAACACACACACACACACACACACACACACACACACACACACACACACACACACACACACATGCTCCCAGATGACAGACTGTGTGTGTGTGTGTGTGTGTGTGTGTGTGTGTGTGTGTGTGTGTGTGTGTGTGTGTGTGTGTGTGTAGGTGAGAGACCTGTTTGTCATGGCGAGGAAGAACGCTCCCTGCATCCTCTTCATCGATGAGATCGATGCGGTGGGCCGGAAAAGAGGGCGGGGCAACTTTGGCGGTCAGAGCGAGCAGGAGAACACGCTGAACCAGCTGCTGGTGGAGATGGATGGTGAGGATCTGTGAGCTGATTGGCTGTTCAGACTCACAGGTGTTTGAAGGAGTCATGTGATCATCGTGTGTGATGTCATTCACTACATGAATGACATCACACTCAATCTGATATCTGATTGGCTCTCACTGTCAGGACGTCACTGTAATCGGACGATTTTTTAAATTTTTATGAAGTTATAAAAAATATATTTATACTGTAGATCTACAGTGTATAGATCAACATTAGATCTACTGTAGATCTACTGTAGATCTATATACTGTAGATCTACTGTGTATAGATCTACATTAGATCTACTGTAGATCTATATACTGTAGATCTACATCAGATCTACTGTACATCTACTGTAGATCTACATTAGATCTACTGTAGATCTATATACTGTAGATCTACAGTATATAGATCTTATGTAGATCTATATACTGTAGATCTACAGTATATAGATCTATATACAGTAGATCTATATACTGTAGATCTACAGTATATAGATCTATATACTGTAGATCTACAGTATATAGATCTATATACTGTAGATCTATATACTGTAGATCTACAGTAGGCTCCTGCTCTTCACGCCGACAGGACCAGAGAAGCGTTTTTGACTCCTCCCACTGACACTCGGAGCAGAATTCTGTATAAAATGTCGAATCTGAAAATTTCGGCGTTTTGGTTCCAAACGTCGTAATTTGACTCCGAAACGTCGAATTGTTGTTTTTACGCTTGTCGTTACCTGATACGTCCTGGAAACCCGATTTGTACTGAGCATGTGCGAAACGTACGTGACTTCCTCTACTCGCCGTCTTTGCGACAGCTCAGCAGTTGTCTCCTCGTCCGAAGGTCGGCGGTCTCACGTCTCGCCGTTGTTGTTCCAGGTTTTAACACGGCCACAAACGTGGTGGTCCTCGCAGGAACCAACAGGCCCGACATCCTGGACCCGGCTCTGATGAGACCAGGACGCTTCGACAGGCAGATCTACATCGGTGAGACGTTAGAGGGTCAATGACGGCGGGCTGTGTTTGACTTCCTGTTTGTGACCTCTGATAAAGGTCAAGAGGTCAGTGAAGGTCATGACCCTCTCTGTGTGTCTCAGGTCCTCCTGATATTAAAGGTCGGGCGTCCATCTTTAAAGTCCACCTGCGTCCTCTGAAGCTGTCCACCGACATGGACAAAGACGCTCTGGCCAAGAAGATGGCGGCCCTCACACCTGGATTCTCAGGTAAGCAGCAGATCAGGCGCCGCCCCTCTGCAGCGCCACCCTCCCCCCACCTGTCTCACCTCAGTCTGTGGGTTTGTTTCCCCTCTGCGTCGTCTGTCAGGTGCCGACATCGCCAACGTCTGTAACGAGGCGGCTTTGATCGCTGCTCGCCACCTCTCAGACGCCATCAACCAGAAGCACTTTGAGCAGGCCATCGAGCGAGTCATCGGAGGTGAGAGGCTGACCTGTGCGAACAGCTGTGTCACATGACTAAGCCGTCCATCATTTCCTGATGATGACGTCCAATCAAATCTCCCCGCAGGTCTGGAGAAGAAGACGCAGGTCCTCCAACCCGAAGAGAAGAAGACGGTGGCGTACCACGAGGCCGGTCACGCCATCGCCGGATGGTTCCTGGAGCACGCTGACCCCCTGCTAAAGGTCCCCCCCCCCCATACTCAGTGACATCATTGTTTCCCATCATGCCCCTGTGATGTGACGTGCTCTGTTGTTACCTGTGCAGGTGTCCATCATCCCCCGGGGGAAGGGTCTGGGCTACGCTCAGTACCTGCCCAAGGAGCAGTACCTCTACACCAAAGAGCAGCTGCTGGACCGCATGTGCATGACCCTGGGGGGGCGGGTCTCAGAGGAGATCTTCTTTGGGCGGATCACCACCGGGGCTCAGGACGACCTGAGGAAGGTGACCCAGAGCGCCTACGCACAGGTGAGCCTGTCACACACAAGCTCCTCCCCCTCAGAGGGGTCAGCGACCTTCAACCCATGACCCACATGTAGATCTGAGTCCAGAACGAAGACCTGCTCAGAGTCTCCGGTAATCCGGTCCGTGTTTCCTGTTCCTGTTCTGCTGCAGATCGTTCAGTTCGGGATGAACGCCAAGGTGGGTCAGGTGTCCTTTGACCTTCCCCGGCAGGGCGAGATGGTTCTGGAGAAACCGTACAGCGAAGCTACAGCCCGACTCATCGACACAGAGGTCCGAGCTCTGATCAGCGAGGCCTACCAGAGAACCTACCAGCTGCTGAGCGAGAAGAAGGCCGAGGTGGAGAAGGTACAGAGATCCTGAGCACAGTTCTAGGGTTCTAGATTCAGGAGCAGCTGAACATCCAGAACCTTCAGGTCCGGACTGAAGGTTCTTCTCATGACACCCCCACAGTACCTGTCGTCTCACTGAGTCAGATTTAGAGTCCTGCTGATCGACTGACTGCAGAGAAAAGGTTTAATATGTTGTTATGGAGCCGTAAACACACGCTCAAAAAACCTGTTTTTAATGGAAGTCTATTGGCCGACAAAGGAGGGTGGGCGGAGCTAAAATGACGGAGAACTACAGGAGACACTGAGTTTTTATTTAATATGCAGAAAAATAAGAACATTAAAACTGAGACTGTCAGCTCAGAGGAAAGAGGAGGAACCGAGAGGGTCTTCATGCCGAGTTCTGACCCGGTCTTTGTCTTCTTCCTGCAGGTGGCGCTGCGACTGCTGGAGAAGGAGGTTCTGGATAAGAGCGACATGGTGGAGCTGCTGGGAAAACGTCCGTTTGCAGAGAAGTCCACGTACGAGGAGTTTGTCGAAGGAACGGGGAGCGTGGACGAGGACACGTCTCTGCCTGAGGGTCTGAAGGACTGGAACCAGGAGAGGAAGGAGAAGGAGGAGAGTCCGGATGAGCAGGTGGCCCGCCAGATCTCAGGAGGAATGCCCTTCTAGATCTCTGTGATGGACCTTGAGTCCAGAACCTCTGACTCGTGCTTATTTAAAATCTGATGCTTCTGGATTTCTGCTTCTCAACCATTAACCACGCTTAGACCGCCAGACCGGACCTCTGCTGCTCGAACCTTGACTCTGCACCAACACCAGGCCCAACACAGACCCCCCACAGTTCTGCTGGATCCCTCGGTTCTCCTCCTGCTCTGCAGAACCACGCTGAAGCGTCAAAGGTTTCCCTCTTAGTCCCAGAACCCTCAGCCAAACTCAGACCTGATGGACCAGAGGAATGTTCTAGAAACTGGATCAGGTGGTTCCTTCAGTGTGGGGTTCTGGAACTTCCACACATCCTATCCAACCATCTCTCCACCCCTTCATTCAGAGTTCCAAGACCCACATCTGGACCGGTCCCCTCAATAAAGATCCAGAACCGGTCACTCCAGAGTCTTCACCCACCTGCTGATCAGTGATCTAGAACTCTGCGGTTCCTCTGAGGATGGACCGTCCATGTCAGGACAGGGTTCCAGATCCTTCACAGGACCAGAGAACTCAGAGAACTAGAACTGGTACTGGCTCCAGCCTCATCAACAACAGGTTCAGATAAAGGTTCATCTAGTCCAAAGTCCGGTTCTGGAGAAATTCACAGTAAACTTTGTCGGAACCCTTTCAAAATAAGAGAACCCTGCCTCTGGTTCTGGAGGTCCTAATCCAGAGACCTGTGTAAATCTGTTCTATAGGAGCCTCCATCAGTTCCACCTCCACTGCAGAACCCTTCGAGAACCGTCTCTCAGATTTCAGATGAACATTAGATCTCATGGGACCTGATCTCTGCAGCAGCCGGGTCCTCACACGCAGAACCG